CCAGTGTAGGAGGTAGCGGCTTACACTATATACTTTATTTTTAATATAGACACCTAAAATATTCGGATCTTTAATATTTGAGGCTTCTACTGCGAACTTTAAATTTGATCATTTATTGCCGCCATAATTAAGGATACTTTATCAGAATCAGAAAAATTCAACTTTAATTTATTAATTTTTGCCAGCTGATTAAAATGAAATTCGTGTAATGAACTACTCGTTATTTTATTATTTGCAATATCCATAAATAGCCCATACCCCAACTAACAAAGAAGCTTTATAATTTTTAGTTTACAAGACTATTATATTTTATTGATATTATATTGCTGTATCTGGAATGCTAATTTATTGTACTACAGTTGCAGAAATCACTATTTTGTTCTCTGAAACTAAATAGTTATATAAATTAGTTTTTACAATATTCTTACAGCAAAATTATAAAATAGTTTTCACGATAACTATGAAATTGTTACATAAACATTTATACAACTGTTCTATACAATATTTCAGCTTATAAAATAAAATTGCTTTATAGTTATTCTATATTATTGTTCTGGATTACCTTTAGAACTTTTTGGTCATACAAATATAACTGTTTCTTAACCTCATAATAACGCTTTAAAAAATAGTTATATAAATATTAGTGTGAGATAATTCCGCATCAATAGCAATTTGCCTCTGATGAAAACTCTAAAATAACTGTAATATATTGTCGAAATACACTATTACAAATCAGAAAACTGCATATCAATTATTTTAGTTAAGAATAGTATTATCCCTTTAAAAATATTTATAAAAAAATAAAGCAACTACATTTGGTAGTACCTACGCCATATTATTTTTGTATTTTATGTTTGTTCAACTACTTCCCATACCAATTGTATGTGAGTGTATGGTCTGAAAATGTCAGATTTAAATAGTGAAGAAATATAAAAAATAAGTGGTACCTGCTTTTCAGAGAACAGTAAAAAATATTAGTAAAACATTTTGATGGTTTGTCTAGACACTCAAAAAAAAAAACTATCATTTAGCCAGATTATAATTAGGTATGTTCTGAATAATCATGCCCCAATACTAAAAGAAAGCCATATTTTTGGCGATGTCCATGTTAAATTTGCTTATTCTCGTAATATTAAAAATTATGCTTGCTCTATAAAGCTGTAGAAACAAATCTAATCATTTCAATTCCCAAATACTTAAATCGGAAACGATTTAGTAAGGTTATGTTATATTTTGTCATATAGTGCAGCAATATGAAACTATTATACAACAAACCATGATGAACTTGTTTTGTAGAAATGAGTAATACAACTTAATTATTGTATTACAGCTGTTTTTACTACAATAATATTTTATAATTATGATTCAGTCTTAAAATAACTTTCTAATACCTCTGAATAGCCGCCATATTTAACAAAAACCTAAGACAGTTTTAAAGCTAAATCTACTGTCGGTTTTACTAGTATTTAAGACAAAACCAATGTTAATTAAAGATTTTAATCATTAGTAATATTAGCATAATCTTATTACTAAAAAAAAATCAAATTTCATAAATTAAATTTTTGTTTCACACTGAAAAAGTATTAGAAATATGAATCAAACTCGAGGCGCTTAAAAATTTAGTATTGTATGTGCTATATAATTAACAGTAATTCTTGCTGCGCATCCAAAAACGACTTTATTGTAGGTCATACATTATGTCTAAACCGCGTTATAGATATCTCTTAAGTAGATACTGCCATTTTACTAATATCGCCTTGAATTTACTTTTATGACAAATATAGAATTAATTTGTTTTCAACAGATACATTTAAAAAACAAAAATGTTACTGATTTTGATATGCAACCTAACCTCAAAAATGAAAAATTATTAAACAATTATAAAAGTTTAAAAAAACATTTGTTTAAAGTCTGGTGTAAATGTGTAGTAACTGTTCGGTAACTGCATTCAACAAATCTTATAGAATTTACAAAAGAACCAAATAGTTCTGTAATACTGCGCCCATTTTGTGTTTATTACTGTTGAAAGAATGTTCCGGAAATGTTCTTAGCTAATATTCTATTTTATAAATTTTGTTCTGTAAACATTTTTTCAGCTTTTATAAAATATCAAATTGTTACTTGGGACGTATCTCGTGTGCTTTGTAAAGTAGAACTCAACAGTTGTTTCCAGTGTGCCCAAGTATACTGAGGTTAACCCAATTCACACTGAATAAAACTATCGTACCATGTTTTAGCTGTCCCCTTCAATGTATTTATAGCTTGATAAATTATAAATACTAAAATTATGTTGAATAATTTCTAGCCAATCAGAAATTTCCATATTCATTGGATTAAATTCGGAAATTAAACTAGATAACAAAATACCTGACCTAGGTTGAATATTGCAGATTTGCGAAACAGTACTAGAATCATGTACAGATTTTGTTTAACTTTTCTTACGCGATTTCTTCGATTTCTTCCAATTTCGCCGACTTTTGCCGCCTGAAGAACTTCTTTTCGCCATTATGCACCAAAAGAAACACACTGTTCACCACTTCTGGTATAGAAATATTGTCACTAGTAATACCACTAGAGGTCAAATTATTTCCGGAAATTTTTTCGATCTCATGAATATTTTGAAAATTTCCCGAGTCGCAGACGAGGGAAATTTTCTAAAAATATTCATGAGCGAGAAAAAATTTCCTGATATTAATTTGACCTCGCGTGGTATTCGGTAAGAAAATTCCACGCCGAATTATGGTTGAAAATTAAATATTTTTAAAATTTATTTTTCGTTTCTCAACAATGCAAATTATTTTCTCCAAGTCACCAGTGAAACATAAAAGGTGTTGTCGCCTTGATTGTTGAGTTGTCATGGTAACTAAGTGAGACCCTAACCTCGAATATAATTTCAGTTTTGAAGTTGTCAAGCGGCCCGACGTAAAAAAATGTTTCGCTGCAATTATTTAGGCCTTCAAATTGCTTATTTCTACTCATTGTAGTTGCATGGGAATACCATTTGAAAATAGAAAATAGTATATTCTTTAATTTTACGTAAGTTTTGAATAACTACAAGTGGTAGAAAATTGTTTTTCTGCGTTTTTATTAACATGCGTTATGAGCGCTTTAAAATGGTATGAAATTCATAACCAGCGTCAGCAAGCATCAATCGTAGAAGGCTGTGATCATTGTATTTTGACAGTTCAAAACATTAAATAACTCGCGTTTTGTTGCGATAAAGAATATTGCACAGCAAGTAAAACCAACAAAATTACCTATTTGTTTAAAAATGAATCGATTTGAAAATCATACGCTATGCAAAATATGCGTGAAATTGTCTGATGTAATGATCAATCATTGCACCATGACTTACTTACTCGGATTAATAGAGGATTGTGGCTCCCAACTTGAATAACGAAAATTTGTTCCAAATTGTCCACGAATATTTGCACCTAAACTACGCAAAATTCAAAGTGCTGAATGGGAAAAAGGTGAATAAATTAGTGTCTAAATATTATATATATTTTATTAGACATAGACACATAATTCAAAGCATCCAAAGTCCTGCATTTTCGCCATTAAGAAGAAAAGAAGTGGCCGAAGAATATAGAAAACACCGTAGCATTGTAACTAAAATGTATCAAAACTAAACCTATTATGTGAACAAATAAAAACCAGTCTGTCAAAAATGGTCTGTTATTGTAAACGTCAAAAAATTTCCAGTATAATTCGCTGTTGGGTACCCCACGAGAAAAAAATTTCCACTAAAATACCTCCGTTGCCATGGTGATCTGTCAAAAACACGTATTTTGATTGGTTCAAAATTACAGGTGTGGAATTTTCAGGGTAACACAATTGTACACTTTTTGAACTAATAACATACAATACAATACAAATTTAAATTTGTAGAAGTAAGGCATGCTTACTTCTGAGGTGCTGATTTAAAACAACTTTACCCATTTGCCACATAATACGGAAGGAGCAACAAAACTATTTAAAGTTTAAATACCTAACTGGCTTCCTTAATTTTAACTACTTATACTATTTATGACACCAAAATTTGTTAGAATGTGTATTGTATTATATATTTTCAGTATATTTTAAAAAAGAATTCCCTATTACCATACCTTAATTCATATAATTAATTATATTGGCCACGCTCTTAACCTTAATGCTCAAAGGGTAATGATTTCTTAGTACAACTAAAATTTAACGAGTATCTCTGGCAGTTAATTATTCCCTAATCTCTTTGTTCCAGGAGAGAAAAAAAGAACTCGTGGACCACCGAGAGGATTCCACGTTCAGCTTCGATCCGTCGACTTTGAACGTCAAGAAATTATCGAAGCAGAAAATAAAGAAGATAGACGCTCGCAAGGGTGTGTTGCTGTCGTCGTATACGAGAAAAAAAACTCGTCGCAGAAAAAGAAACAGAAGTTCTACGAGCGCCGGAAATAAGACCGGATCAGAAAATAACGGCAATAAACAAGAAACTAAAGAATCTAACTCGTTTAAGTTGTCTCCTAAGAAAAACAGTAGGAGGTAAGTAAAATGGTTAAAAAGATGTTAAACGAAGTGGAATAATGGTTTAATCTACAGCGCGGTCCATTTTTTTCAAATATATTTATGCAATATTTGTAGCTGCTTGCATAAAAAATCAATCAGTAAGTAATAGTATTAAAGCTAAGCGGCTTCTAGTCCATTAGTACAAAGTTTCGTATCTAGATAGCGCTGTATGTCAGCAAACTCTAGTCGTCGGTATTCACGGTATCTACACGTCTTTAAACATCGGAATATAACGGTGTACCGCATCCTCTTCTGTCAAGACTTAGAGAATCAAAGAATTTTGATAAACTTGCACTTTGAGGAAGACTCAATTCATCTTTGCCTTTCTAAAAATTACTGATACCTAATTTCGAATAGTACTAATGATGGAGTGATACATAATTAGGAATAAAAGATCACATTACTTCTTAAATGCGTAAATATCCTTTGTAATAATAATATTTTTCTAATGTTACAGATCTGTTACACCAAGCCGTAGTCCTAGTCCAAGGCATAGCCAACATAGTCAACAGAGTCAAGAATCTCCTCGACCTCAAGCATTACCTCTACCTCACCCTCTTCCGAAACACGTTCAACTTAACGATCCGAAACAAAGAGATACTTTACATCCACAAAATATATTGGGTAAGTAATAGCTCTACATATACTAAAAAAAATTCGAACGAATCTATTTTTTGCAAATGGATTAAAATAGAATATTTGTTTCAGGTCCAAACCCTAATAGATTAGGTCTTCAAAGTAGACAGACTAGTAGTAACAGCGGGGAAGGAAACAATAGAGAATCATCATTAGACGATTCTGGTGTGGTGGACGATCACGAGCCTGAAGGTGATGCCACGTCGGAAGAAGTTACAACTCATCTTACTCCAAGTAGTAGGGTAAGTGTTAGTTTTAATATTTTTTTCATCTCGGTTATTATATCAAAGTGGTTTTAGTTTTTATATATTTGTCAAGAAGTACATTAAATATGAGGCTCTATTAAAATTTACAACGCGAACACGTTCTGTTAAGTTGCTTCCGAGAAATGTTTAGATTTTGTGGAAAAAAACTATCATAAAAAATTAATAATAAATTTTAAAATGTGGCTAAGATCATGGTTAAATTCAAATGTAAAACTGAATATTGCATTTAACAAGGATTTTTTAAAATTGTGAGTTTTTTCATCTGTTCTATTTTTAACTTTAAATACAAAAACTGGATAATTTTATCTGTTGAAACTCAATTAGTAAAGAAGCCAGCTGGTAAATACAATTGTTTTTAAAACAGTACAGTGGCGTATAAGAAATAAAATAAAAATAAAGTGGCCTATTTTTCTTATGTCGTAACAACATGCTTTGACGTCCTGCATCCCAGTTATCTTAATAGAGACTTTTACGAAGCAGTCAAAATTGACGGCCATAAATTATATTGCTATTCCAAACTAAAGGACAAAGAAGATCATATTAACAGACTAAAAACAAGCAGTCAAAGTTTCGAAAACTTAGTAATAGAAGCATAATCAATGCTTGAGGTGAACATTGCAAAGCAATCTAAGGAAATTGAGTCTCTAAACTCTAAACTTCAAAGTGAACAGTCTGCAATAAACGAATATGATAAAACCGTAATGGAAAAAGATGTTAAGGAGTTAGATAATATAAACAGGAGCATGGCAACTACAATGAGGATATTGGAGGCTGAAAACGTTGATTATGAGAAAATCATTGGCATACTTAAAATTGAAAACGAGAACTTTATGGAAGTAAGTAAAAAGATGACTGAATTTAGAGTATTAAATTTTGCATTGAAGGAGAGATAGACGAAGTTCGTACGGACTTACATAGGAAATTCAATTTGTAAGAGTGAGAGGTACAAATTCAGTTGGTAAGAGTGAGACAAAGTGTATCTTTATTGCTATTGGTCCGATTCAAACGAGAAAAACGGCATTATGTAGAGAACGCGGTATAGATTACCGTTAAATAGAAAAAACATGCGCAGAACGAAAAGCCAAAAGGGCCTTAGCATGTATTACTGGTCCGATTTAACGGGGAAAACGGCATTATGTAGAGAACGGGCATAGATGAATGTAGAAAGTTAAACGTCAGAACGAAAAGCCAGAAGGGCCTTAGCGTATATCTTTATTGCTATTGGTCCGATTCAAACGAGAAAAATGGCATTATGTAGAGAACGTAGTATATATGAAGGTTGAAGAGAAAAATCGGCATTTTGTTTGACGTTTTCGTTCAACGCTTTCGTTTAAGGTTTTCGTTTAACGTTTTCGTTTAACGTTTTCATTTAACGTTTTCGTTTAACGTTTTCGTTTAACGTTTTTGTTTAACGATTTCGTTTAACGTTTTTGACGTTTACGTTTGACGGTTGGCGTTTGACGTTTGACGTTTTCGTTTGACGTTTTCGTTTGACGTTTTCGTTTGACGTTTTCGTTTGACGTTTTTGTTTGACGTTTTCGTTTGACGTTTTCGTTTGACGTTTTCGTTTGTCGTTTCGTACTTCAACTAAACTAACTACTACTACTACAGCCAGGTTGGTCGAGCAGTCTTACGTAAGTCCATCCTCCGAATAGTCAGTATTGAGATGTCTAACGAAAAGAATAGACGTAGAATTGAAGAGTTTAGTATAAAAGTTAGAGAACTAAATAGACATAAAATTATATGAAGATAAAAAACAAGTTTTAAGAGATTTGACAAATTTAAGACTTTGGGAGGGTATTGAGAGATATCATCCTAGACCACTTAGAAGAATCCAACCGACGCAAATATGGCCATCTTAAAGGCTAATTTTATTATACTTACGGCTATATTAAACAATATACAAACGTGCCGAGTGGCGTACAACAGATGATGATACGTTTTGACGATCAAACATAATGGCGAAAGATAAATTACTCGGTGGTAAATAATATGAAGCTAAATACGTTTTCCATAGCAATCGATGAAGCAAAAAGATACAAATTAAAATTGATTTTTAATGATGCGGCTGAAGGAGAACTAAAAAATTGGCAGACTATAGCAACTCCGATCGGTTTGAAATGACATGCCAGAGTCTAAGTATTCTAAATTATATATAGTTAGTTGTATAACACTATCATCTACTTTGTTTATAATATTGAAAATTATTGTAAAAGTTATAAATAAAAAATGTTACTCTTCTTGTAAAACAAAAATAAATGTTTGAAATTAATAAGGTGTCTTTAATTAAAAAACAATAATTTCATTATATATTATATTTATTAATAAGAAAGAATTACAATGGTAATATAGTACTAAGAAATCAGTGACGTAGACATTCTGGGTACATTTAAATGATCCATTGGCGTGGAACATGCAGGTTTTGGAGACACTACTGAATTTTTCTGTTGCACACGGTGTTCCATCGAACTTGCATACATCTACTATTATAGGAAATATTCCAAATACATGACAATTTTTTTAGTAAAAAAACGGCTTTTCCACTTCCTCGTACGTAGATACAATCAGCATGGTTTAGTAAATATGTTTCCAAAATCGAGTTTAACTTGGAAAAATCTATGTCTCCAGAGGAATAGTTAATTCCATGAATATGTTTCTCAACATATCTAGCGCTAACGAAAACATCAAAGGAAAACGTCAAACAAAAACGTTAAACAAGAACGTCAAACGAAAACGTCAAACGAAAACGTCAAACGAAAACGTCAAACGAAAACGTCAAACGAAAACGTCAAACGAAAACGTCAAACGAAAACGTCAAACGAAAACGTCAAATAAAACGTAAAACGAAATGTTAATTTTTCTCTTCAGCGTTTTCGAGTTCTATATGTAATACCGTTTTTCCCGTTTGAATCGGACTAGTAATATCCGAGAAACACGGTAAGGCCCTTCTGGCTTTTAGTTCAGCGCATGTTTTTTCTGTTTGACGTTAATCTATGCCGCGTTCTCTACATAATGCCGTTTTTCCCGTTTAAACTGGACCAGTAATATCCGAGATACACGCTAAGGTTCTTCTGGCTTTTCGTTCTACGCACATTTTTTCTGTTCGACGTTAATCTATACCTCGTCCTTTGAATAATGCCGTTTTTCTCGTTTAAATCGGACCAATAGCAATAAAGGTACACTCTGTCTCACTCTTACCTAATGAATTTGTACCTCTTACTCTTACACATTGAATTCACTATGTGAGCTTGTACGAACTTTATCTATCTACTAAAGAGAATTAAAGAAATATAACTGGTCAGCTTACTCAATTAAAAAATAAGAACATTAGGCTGATGAAAGATATTGAAAATTTATCAAAAGACAATATAATGTACCTAAACTAATTAAAAAGTTTACAACTATACATCAGAAAGATATAAGAATTAGAGTTTTGAAAGTGACAACATTGAACTAAAGAATGCCAAGAAATAGAAAAATATTTTGTTACTATCAGATAAAAATGGAAGAGGTTTGAAACTGTTTTTATAAAGAAAGTATGTCAATTAAGAATTTTAAAACCAGGAGCAGAATTTAAAAGAATACTGGAAGATATTGGAAATATCACTAAAAACTTTAACTCAATTTTTGAAGCAAAACACCCTGTAGGTAGTAATACATATTTGATTGTTTTTATATCGTCAAAACGTGAGGTTATGATTTTCTCATTTTTTTAAATGGAATACCCTGTATTAATTAATTGGTGATATGTCATATAGGGTATTCAATTTTAAAAAAATTAGAAAATCGTTACCCCTCATTTTGAAACACCTTATATACAACATAGCAAATAAATAAAGTCTATTAAAATTGTTTGACGATGTGAAAACAATTTAATATAAAAATGTATAAGTTTGGTCAGCCCTTTGTTTATGGATATATATATTTAAGAATATTTATGAAACATGGTCATACATTTTTTATATTAATTTATTTTCCTATTTCCAATACAACTATTGATCAATTACGCACTATTGGGACATGATGGTATCGTTGGATAGGTAAATTTATAAAGAATTTTATGCCAAAATAATATACAGTGTGTTGCATTTGACAAAATTGAGTAAATTAAACTTAATACTACGATTCAAAACACTTTGTATAAAATAAATCAGTTCTATGACCTAGGAAATGGAATGGTCTACAAAGATCAACTAGAAGTCCCTTTTTTGTGACAAATAATTATTAAATCTTAAGTTTTATGAAATATAGAGTGTTCAAATAGTTTTGAATAAAATTGTTTCCTTAGCCCTTGATTCTACGCCAATGGATTTGGTAATTTATCGAAATAGAGTGTGTTAACTAATAATAACGATTAACTAACATATACATATTTTTAAGTTAAAGTCTTTACTCTAAGGGAAGATATTTAGAAAATAGGTATTTATGAAATTTACTTTATCACTCTGTAGAATGAAAACTGGAAAGTTTATAAGAAAATCATATTTAGCTTTTCTTTATAATTCCTTAAGATCTACAAATCCCTAAAATTACGGTACTTTATTCTGAAACACCCGGTGTAAATAAATAAATAAAAAATTAAAAACTTCATTATAAAATTCATTCTTTTTTCTGGAAATACACTTATGAACTCTAGACGTTGCATTGTTATCATATTTTAAGATAAGATGTTGCGCATTCACCAATAATGTGAGAAGTGTTACCACCCCCAAAAAAACAACCAAGCTACCCGTTTGCGGTAGTAAATCTATTTTTCTGGCGTGTGAAATATATAATTGTTTCTCCGATTGTTCATACCTACAGTGTGTTTAAAAAAAATGGATTTAAAATGATAATCTCTTTTAAGTATAACATATACAACTCACGCATTTTTAATATTTATTCTAATCGTTGTTTTTATAACTATATACTTTTAATTTTTAAAAAATATACTTATAGTAACTTTGTAGTTAATTTATTACAGTAACTTTTTTGTC